AATTAGTCGAGTCCGTTCAAGAACGCTCGAATGGCAGGGATGATAAATTAACACTTCGAAATGGTTTTTAATCGTAGAATATTTTGTACAGGTAACAATTTAATATACACCACAGAGGAAACTTGATGGAACATCTGATTCCATCAATTCTCCACAGAATAAAAAAAGCAATTTCTCGATTAATTCATTCTATTAGCGATATTATCAACCTTAGAGCAACGATGTCTCTTGGTGACAGATTCCGTTCAATTTCATTTGAACGTTTAATTAACGAGACTGGTTTAACGAGAGCCCAGAGGCCAGAAGCACCAGCTGTAACAGCATCTCCCCCATGATCGACGTTATAAATAACGATTTGCCGTTGATGAGGCGCGGCAAAGGTTGCTCGTTCGTTTAATTAGCATCGGTTGCGCAACATTTAATTAAACAGCGACTTTTCCTCTTTACTTCGACGCGTTAAAATGAATCGTTCGAGCCAGTTTGCGAGTATGGAAAATACGAAACGGAGCCACTTCCATCAGGTGAACGACCCCACGCGTCCGTGTGTACTCATCCCACCTGTATTCATCGGACAAGGAAGTTCCTCGCCGCGTAACGATCATGTAACAACCGATTATTTTACCAGGCACTCGAGCAAGAATCGAATTAATTATTTCTCCAATCCAGATTTCGAAACTCGGTAGAAAATGTGGTACAATTAGGCGCTAATAACCCGGTAATTAACGCTTGCAAAAAAAAGAGAATAAGGTTCCCTTTCGATTCAATTGAACAACAGTGAAGAAATATTAATTCAATGACATTTGAACGAAGTACAAAAGAAAAGAAAAGCTAGAATTTCGAGTACAATCATTCGGCGGTAATTGATAGTTGTTGAGAATTACAAAGAATTTTTGCCTCGACGAAATTACACACGAATGTGTTACTTCGCGACGAGGTACAAGTTGCCTTTAGTAGCAATCTGAAACAGCTCGCAATCCGATTACGGCTAATTCGATGCAATAAATTTCGACACAGCCCAGATTACATGTTACCTCTTTTTTTTTTTTCTTCTTCTTTCCAACGGAAACGATCAAACGACACATATTGTGTACAGAAACATCTCGCGTGCAACTTGCTGTACTTGCTTTCATTCAAAACGTACATCGTGTTCCTTGACAATTGTCATCGATCAACAGCGGAACATAAGCGTGTGCGTGCAGATTAATTATATGCGACCGTGGGCATATTAAAGATCAATGTATCAAATCAAATGAGTAGCGCAACTAAGGGGTTAATAGAGTCAGCTAAGAAATTATGCTCCTTTTTCATAGCATATATTGAAATATTTTTTTAAATTTCGGGTGTTGGAATTTTATATTGTCAATTATAATTACTTTAATTTTTTAAATTAAGCTTTTCAGAAATATTCTAGAGTAATTTTATTACCATATGAAATCCTTTTTCATTAATTATTTGACCCAGCTAAGGAATCAAAAATTAAGTTTTTCAGAAATATTCCAGAGTAATTTTAATCCCATATGAAATCCTTTTTCATTAATTATTTAACCCAGCTAAGAAATCAAAAATTAAGCTTTTCAGAAATATTCCAGAGTAATTTTAATCTCATATGAAATCCTTTTTCATTAATTATTTGACCCAGCTAAGAAATCAGAAATATTTTATCCTCAAATGTAATAATTTTAATCGTGAATCTACGTAATACTGTTAAAATTTATCGCGGAATAATTAAAGTCGAGACTTGATGGCGGCAAGGATGAAAGAAATTCCGTAGGATTTTTCCTGCTTAAGTGGAACAGTCGGACTTTTATCGATCTGTTTCAAATTCAAGCATGGAGACCACCACGAGGTAAACGAGCGACTTTTCCTAGTCTCAAATAACAATGAAAATTCACAGATTCGTAATATCCTATCTATCCACTCTATTTCTTTACAAATTTTCTTGATGTATCGTCTACGATCGATCGTTTCAAATAGAAATTCATTGTAATGATCGAAGAATCGCAACAAGTAAGAGGACGAATATATTCAAGGCGGCCGTTGTTATAATCGCGGCAGATGTTATCCAGCTAGACCAAAAAAAGGCATGACCCATGAAATTTCAAGTACGACCTCGTGCGCCAGTCACGAGAGCACCGTCGTGCCGTGCGAATTCCATCAATGCGCAAGAAATTCAAAACATCGCGCTCCTAGCGTGAATGCGACTTCCAATACGCACCTGATCTTCAATTTTAAACCACTAGTATATTTTGGGGCTCACCTTTTCAAATTATATCATTTAATTGCAAACAAACATTCCTGAAGATCTTCTGGTATTTTTCAAATTAAAAAATTAATTACACTTGCTGATTATTCACAACACTTCACTCGGTGCTCAAAAAACACTTTTGGAGTGTTTCATTTTGAAAATTCTTATCTGGAAGCCCGAAAATTTACTCGAAATTCGGAATAAACCTAGGTGATGAGGAGAAGAATTCCTTTCGCGAAACTTACAAATAAAAATAATTTTGAAATTTTCCCCAGGTCTAGACAGACAATAAAAATCAGAAACTTAATTAAAAACTTGGGTTCAATTGTAATGAAGATTAGAATTGCAGGAAGCAAGGTCCTCGCTAAGATCTCTCTAAAAATAAAAATAAAGTTTCTAAAATTAATTCTCAACTTTGCCTAGATCTAACCAGACAATAGAAAGTAGGAACTTATAGCATAATCCTAATCAAAATCAAAAAATCCTAAGGCGAAACAAAAATTCCACCAAGATTCCTTATACACGCGAACAATATATATTGTAAAATTAATTTGCACCTACTCCCAAATAAACGGAACAAATAAAAATCATTAAAGTTCGCCTAGATCGAGATAAGAGAATAAGAATGGTCAACATTAAGTGGAAACTTTCTAAGGTTCGATAAAGGGTACGAATCATTAGGGAAAGCGCGTCTTACCTGGCTACCAGGTGGACAGCGAAGTTTCGTCGCCGGGCAGGGTGCATTTACGAGGGTGCAAGCCTCAAGGAAGCGTCGATAGTCGGCATCGACGTGCCGCGGCGTCGGTCCGCGTCTTCGCGTAAGCACGAACGCGTTCTTACTGCCACGGGGTTGGCCTGCTAGCCTGTTCGTCGAGAAAGCGAGGGTACGAGCTGGTCACTTGGGAGGCGCTGGCGCGATGACCAGAGGAAATGTGGACGATTGTCGTGGATCTTGGGTTCGATTGATCATTGATTCGGATAACGATTCATTCCAAAACAATTTGAAAGGAAATTAAGGCTAGGATTGAAGAAGAATAGAAGATAATGAAATTGCAAAATTGAAGATTTTATTTTAAACTTTATGCAACTTTGTGCATAAGAGCTGTAACACTCCAACTTCTCAATTTTATTGAGGCATTAAAAATTATCGCAATTGTAGCTACTTTGTGTTTTAAAACAGTTCGCCACATTTCTCGAAAGGAAGCATGATCCCTGGTTAATTAACATAGTGTTGTAGAACAGAGGATCTTCAGATCTTCTCGTCCTCCTTGACGGTAATTGTATTCGCTCTTTCATTACCGTAGATGTTAATGGAACAGGTGGTGTCTACGTCTGCACGAACAGTTTTAGAACCAAAGATAGCTGCGTTGAAAATGGTCAAAGTGCTACATTCAACGATTTCAATTCTAGATCATTGCATCTAATTGCTGATGATAAAAAGAGCTTAATTGATGGTGGTTCTTTATAGAAGACACCAAATATGGATCAATCTTTTTTTTTTCTTTCATGTTGTCATTAACTTTACAAGGTCTCAATTAAAATTCTACACGATGTCCAAAGAAAATACAGTAAAAAAGTAAATGCAATAAAGTTCCTAAGAATAGCATAGGAATAAAATTATTCCCAATTTCCTTGCATAATATCGATCGTCGTGGAACGTGTAACGCTCGTCCACCCACACGTTCGATCATACACGCGGCGAAAATTGTTGCAACACTTGCGAATAAACGAGCGTGTATCGTTCGGGGTTTTGCACAAGCGTTTCATAACAAGGCTCTCGCAGGCGAGGCCGTTCATTCATTCATTTGGTCGAATAAGGTGTACTGGATCCAAATTATTGGAACATTAGCTTGATTGAAGCGAGCTGGGCTCGGCCTGATCGCGCGATCGATTTTCTCCGTGTAAGTACAGCGAGTTGCATAAGTGTTCGTACCATTCTCAATTAGACATACGGGATACTTTTTTCACCACGTGTTAAATACAATCGAATAATTAAGAAAAAAAAATATGAAAAAAAGGATAAAAATGAAACATACTGATAAAAAGAAAAATGATAAGTCTATTTTTAAACACATTTTATTCATTTGTACAATTTATATTATAATTATCGTCGATATTTTATACACAGTATATTCGACTTGGAATTAAATAGATAATTGTTTCCTACGGGAATCGTTTTTTGTGCCAAAATCAAAGCTCGTGAATCTCGACTCTGCTGAAGCTAAAAGTTCTGAGAACTTGGTCCTTTAACAAAGATCCTCTATTATTTTTTCTTTATTAAATTCTAGGGAATGGAAGGAGGTAGTTAAAGAACCTGTCCAATTCTTTCTTTTTGCAAATTCTGAATGGAAAATGCAGAACACTAACTCTTGAAACAAAGTCGAATCGATAAAGCACGTTGAACCTTTGTTTTTGGCAAACACGATTTATTTTTACTTTGCAGCGGAATTCTCGTTTCACTTCGAGCCAGTTCAAAAGTAAATCGTATCGCTTTCCTTTTCTATTCATTTCAAACTAAAATTTATTTAACTTACTATATTGCGTTGATGAATATTCGATAAATCACAGGGTTTGATGAACCGAGTGAAAAAATTGAAACGTAATTACATAATTATTTTCTATTACTTACCAGAATTGATACTACCCACTTCGGATCGGAAAACTTAAATGGGTATTAAATAATATTTTAAAAATAAAAATTCAAAGGTATATCCAACATATTTAACTAATTATTGATAAGAATAAAACGACAGAATTTTTTGGTATGATCTTATATTGATCAATTATACTTCAATGTATCGCTTACATTTCTCAAAGTAATTATAAGGAGCTCAAACCTATCTCGTTTAGGTTCGAGTCTACTTAAAAGTATTGCTTCTGTTTCTCGAAATACTTGGATCCCAACTCTAGTGAACAGCCTAAAAATACACGTACGCCACAAAATGCTATTCTTCATCGCATAGGTACGTGCTAACACGTACTCGAACTTTACAATGGTTACTTTCGATTTTAATTACAATACCCATGATCTCCACAGAAACTTTCTATTACACAAGTTGAAAATCAGAGGGAAGAACGGCACGATTCACAATATCCAAGAGAAATATTTCACGTGAAACGCAATGTATTTTTTTTTCAGAAGAATCGCGATGGATTCTGATAAAAATTATTATTACAGTGATTATTATGCATTTCATTAGTAAACCATCTTTGTATTTTGATTGGTGTAACTAGATTAGGGGCCAGGTTGGGTCCGACCCCCTAAAAATGTGGAGTGGCCACCTCTTCATTCTAAAATTTTAGATTTAAAAATTTTCCAAGTTCCAGAATTTCAAAATTCCAAAATTTCCAAGAGATCCAATTCATCCCATAAGAAATCCTAGTTACACCAATGTGTAACTCTATTATAATCATTACTTTTTTTTTTTTATTTGGAAGTAGCATTTGTGATACTGATCAATTTATTAGCCGTGAAAGTACGGTAGACAGTAATTTTTTAATTGCATAGAAGCTCGTTAAGATATCGAAGAAGTAAATAAGCTTAGCTTTCGTTTTCATTGGACCGTTTTACAACGAAAGGATCGGTTATTACAGCGAGCTTGTATTCACATCGAAATCGGTTATCTAACCATTCCAATAGACTTATCTTAATTACACTTGTGTATTTCTCTTTTTTTTCCCAAATAGAAGTACGTAAGACATGCAAAGAAAGAAAAGAAATTACGATTACGCTATAACATATTGATTCAAGCCATACATTATAAATAAGTACTAAATCTTGCAAGGAGAGCTTTCCCAACTTTGGTACCACGATTCTTGTCTCGTAACAGAAATCTTATTCCTCGCAAATATATATCTTAATGAGTATAAGTTCGACCGTAATATTGTCAGCTATATTATGCCATATCTATACCAGCACACGCAAGGAAAATGTATTACTCCCTTTCTACTACTCCGTATCAAATGAATTTAAAAGACACATCACAACGCAAAATATTTGCGAGGTGAGCCCTAAATGTAATTGGAAGTAGCACGCGTTATTATACTGCACTATGGAAACCATAGCATCCGACAACGAATCTTTAAATATTGTCTCATTTCAATACGCACGAACGCAATTTCGTTCTATAATATTTAATCGCAGTAACAAGAATAAAAGTTCGTTATCTAATTTAGTTGGGCTATTTTCCGATCTAGAATGATCTATACAAAACTGTAGAGAAAAGAAAAGGAGAAGTCCATTTACACATGACAAAAAGTTGTAAGAAGGAATTAATTTCATGTTTGATTGATTTTAATCAAATTACACGCGCGTTACTTGTAACACATAATTGACTAATGTAAATAGCTAAAGGTGATTGGCACGAAACTAAATCTCATCCGGCAAGCAATAAATTTACAACTGTACAAATAAAATAAATAAAACTCTATGTCTGCAGTGGTGTATAGAATGTTCTTCCCTAAACTACTGATCTTGGTACAGCCTTAAGTTTCACATAGTTACAAAAAATAATGCTCTGTTATCTTTAAAGGAACTCCCTGCTAAAGTATTTAATAATCTTCTGAAATATCAGCTGAAATACTCTTACACCTTTGATCCCACCTTATCCTGGCTCCTCTGAAGCCTTTTATGATCTTTCCTATATTTCTCAATCGTTAGATCAGCATTATCGGTGTTCGATAAGCTTAACGCGACAGGATCTAAACTTGCGGCAAGCTTTAGATAAGTCTCCTCCATTTCTTTAGTGATCTTTACCTCGTAATCAAAATCTGTAGCGTCCCCTTTCTTCAATGTTTTAGGTAAAACTTTCTCCTCTTCAATCGGAACGTCGAAGGTTATTAAATCCTTATCTTTGTCTAGGACCGTGTTATTTACATTCAGTGAAAAATTATTTACATCCTTATTTAAATCTCTCTCTTTGAAACCTTCGACTTTTACCTCCGCGTTTGCGCATTTATTCTTTGAAGAATTCTCGTATAATTGTTGATTATCACCCGGCGGTATAGATTTTGTTTTAGGTTCATTTAAATACAATAGGGAAGGACTTTTGTCCATTATGTTTTCATTAGGCTTTAATTTCGTGTAGCTTGGTACATTGTCCATGTGAACGGACGACTGAACCCATTCGGCTACTCTTTGTAACTGATTATTGTCGTGCAGCAATATCGGTGTACTTTCCTCGCTACTAGTCGAGACCGATCTTTCAGATCCAGAACGAGATAATTTCTTCGAATGAACTAAAGCAGTATTTGGTTTGTTACTTCCGCTAGTGTATAATACAGTTTTATAATGACCAGCGTTGTCTAAAAGAATGTTTTTCGATCCTGGTGTCACTCTCACCAGACAGTTTCTAGGACCAGTTGTTCTGTTCTGACTATTAGGTTTTGCGTTACCAATATTATGCAAACGGGTTGATCGAACAACGTCGCTAGAACTGCTAGATGGATCGGAAGTTGAAATTACCATACTATCGCTACTAAAACTTGGACTAGTGGCCACTTCAATTTGTCCAGAATCATTCTGGGTTGTAACGCTGTCAACATTTTTCACTTCAATTAATGTTAACTGCGGTGGCCGATTAGTTTCTTCTTTCGGTCTGTCATTCTTCCAAACCCTATCATTAATTACATCAATCTCTATATCACTGTTGAACTTTTCCCCATTTTTACCGTCCTTATTCGTTTGTGATTTCAGCTTCGTCCATTCGTTCTTCCATAATCTATCATTAATAATATCAATGTGGCTTTGTTCTTTTCCATCAAAGTAAGTTTTAGGATTCTCAGGAACTGTATGGCTGTGATTCGAAGGTTTCTTTTCCAATTTGCTCCAAGAATTTAAATTGAATTTAGCGTCAGCTTGTAAGTCGCATTTTTTATTCCCTCTGATTTGTTTTCCTTTATCAGAGTTTAGTTTACTATTGCTACAAGTATCATTAATCTTTTGGGATATTGCCTGTTTAATCGTGTTTTCATTTTGATTTTGGAACACAATTTGCGCATCGTTCCGACGCATCGAATTCTTTTTATTTAAATTAACTTTTGTATTCAGATTTAAACGAGTGGCGTCCTTTAAATTGTCTACAACTTTACCGTTCTTACTTACAAATTTATCTTTTGTGCATAAATGTTGACAGTTGCTATTCTTTGTACAATTGTTCTGATATTGTACTTTGCTATTGACATTTTCATTCACCTCATGGTACACCGCGTGTACCATAGAATTTTGGCATTCCTTATTTTGACCATTTTTGTCAATATTCTTTAAATTATCCCCATGTTTCTCCACGTTTTGTGCATATTTCATTGCACATTCGTTGCAAGGAAATACACCTTGTACGCTAGTTTGAGTTTCAGCATCAACCATTAAAATACTTCTATGGCATGTACAAGTATCACAATGTTTGCCAAATATTCGTTCCTTTTCCCGATCTTCTAAAACCTTGGCCATTATTGCAGCTGAGACAATATCCACCGGTGGTTTGGATTCATCTGCGTCATCGTCGCTATGTTTATCACCAGCAGACTTAGTTACATTGTATACCATTGCTGTTGGAGGAAATGTTGAGATAGGTACTGTAATACTTTTCACGTCAGGCGGTGTAGCATCATTCGAACGTTTCTTTTGTGCAATATATGTCTTCACTTTTGCTTGTACTTCAGATGGTAACTGAAGATAAAAGACCAACCATATGTTAATGTAATTTTTACACAGTACAATCATTATATATTTAAATTAATTCAAATGGCTTACAGAGTCATATTTTTGACCAACAAAATTGGAAGGTTTACACTGGAGAAGCTGTATTGCTAAATTCACATCATGTCTGTACTTTTCCTGAAACGAAAACATACATTTCATTCATAATTCAATCGAAAATTTATCAGATTTTGATACTGGAAACATACATTATCTTGGGTTAAACGATGTATTGTATAATTTGCATCAGCTAATCTATGAGACAAGGTTGCAATATCCTTGGTAAATGCACTTTTTTCTGTTTCACATTTATCTACAATCCTTAATAATTTATCCTCAAGACTTTGATTTACTTTTTGAACACGTTTATGAGCCTCGTGTAATCTTGAATATTTCTCTTGCCATATCACAAGTTCTTCCTTCAAGGAAGCTAATTCTCCATTTGGAAATTTATCAGCCTCGTTCAGAAACTGTGTCTCCATTGTTACAATATGATTATCCCTTTCCAATAAACGTTGTCTTAAGTTTTCTATCTCTACATGCAAATGCATGTCTCCGTGTTGCTGATCATTTTGATTGCAGTTTACACATTTGCAACCACATTCCTGAAACATATAGTCATAGTTACTAATTTCCTTGCATGGTAACATATATTAGCTACGTACTCCAAGGAGTAAAAGATAATTGACTCTTGTGAAGCAGATTCAGTTTTATTTGCAATATGTTTATTTTTCTCCAATAATTTTTAATTCACAAAAGAACTTATAGCTGCTACTTTCCACCTTTTATTTTTTATATGTATTATATCTCCATTAATTTTTATCACAGTATCATATGTATTTACTGTTATTTTTACATACCTTACATTTTTCAGCCATCATGTAGTACGCAAATTATATTAAAAATGTTGAAAAAATATTTATGAATAGCGAGACTTCGAAATTGGAGCCTCATAACCCTAATGTTCAGTTCGTACAGAAATATGGACAGCCTTTACACGTTCGAACGCAATTTATTTCTTCATAACATTATCAGCCACCGGGTCAATCTCTGTAATAAAATTTGTTTTTACGAAGTTATTAGTGTTTAAAGAAATATTATTTCAATAAACTTTACAATGACAGATTGCAAGTTCCTTGTCGTCTGCCACACATCAATTTAAGTCAATGACTACAGATACAAGAAAACTGGACATGCCTTTGTTCTGGACGGGTCCTAGATGACCCCAGATGAAATTAGGTCTGCGGGTAGAGAGCACAATCGGTATGGCAGTTATGCCTGTTTTAGCACCTCCTTTGAATAAGCTTTGAACAAAAATAATGATAGTACTAACATCTCGTAACATATGGGTTGAAAATCGCTATCTAAAAAAGAAATTCACGCATCAAAGTCCATCATTATTATTAAAGAATAAAGAATAGCACCGTAGCTTTCTTCTAGTGTAGGTTTTATCTGCCTCCTGAAAGTAATTATTAATCATTAGCAATTTTTAGAGTGATCATTCTTGTAGGTTCGAGCCGCCGCCCCTATAAGGGTTCATAATTAATTAATTAGTGACTGGATTCTTACAAAACCTATATTAGAAAGTCGTTACAAGTATGTATAAAAGTTCATAAATTATTTCTAGATAGGCCCATTTTTGCCGGTAATGTCACCTCGCTGCATGCCGAAAAATCATTAAAATAATTATTTAACAAATTTAACTTCAATTACTTTGGAAAATAAGAGTCGAAAAAGAGTCGAAGAATATTTGTAACTGTTATTATTGTATAACGTTCAATAACTAATTGATAAAAATCAAATTTATATTAAAACACAATAATCACTTCTTAATATTGTATAAAAATAAAATAATTCAAACAAATTTACTGGATATCCGTGTATAAAAGTTATAAAAATAATAAATTTCAATAGATATAACAATAATTTAATTAACAAACAATTGTAAAATTAAAAATAGTAATTAAATAAATTTGAATAGAATAATCAAACAAAATTTTGCAATATACCCACGCAAATACTAAAGAAATAAACAATTTAAATATATATAACAATAATTTGATTAATAAACAATTGTAAAATATAAAATAATAATTAAACAAATATTAACAAATATCAGATAGAAACAGTTAAATGTAACTGGCCGCGGAACCGGTGAAGCGGAACATCAAGCTTGATTGGGCGCGCCGCGACCTGGAGGAAGGTCAAATCTAGTCAGTCTTATCGCGGCCGCCGAAGGATACGGATCGAGCTGTCAAACATATACCGGTACGGGTTGACACTATGGATATTCGTGCATGGATTTATCAGTGCGTTACCACAAGTGTTTCTGTGTGTACCTATGGTGTTTCCTATAGTGTTTCCCATGTGTTTTGGCATATTTATACGGATTTATTAGTGGGTTTTATGGAGTAGTACCCTTTGTGTTTTGGCATATTTATACGGATTTATTAGTAGGTTTTATGGATTGGTACCCTATGTGTTTTACTATATTTTTGCAAATATTTTATAGTGTTCTATGGTTTTGATCTTCGAGTGTTTTGGGATGTATTTGCATGTGTTTTACCGTGTTTTATAGTGTAGTTATTCCCATATAGTTTTGCATGCATATTTTTGAATTATCCTATGTATTAGCATATTAAGTACAACAAATTGAGAGAAAACATATATCGTTCATGAATCGTGATTTTTATGCTTTCAGATGAGTGCTTTAGCCAGTGGGGATACCGTTTCCTTGACGAGCCAACAGACGAGCTAATAAGATGCGTGGCGAGTGCAGTAGTGCAAGTCAACGATCGGTGAGTCGCATGCTTTAAAGTTCCTCCGGTTCCCATCATGTCGTAGGACGAATGGTCCGTAGCGACACGGGAATTGGTTGTAATTTTTATTTTTTGAGCGAGCATAGTGACCCACGAATATCACTGTATCATTTTATACAATGATAATCGTGCAAATTGCTTTTTTGTGCATTTTATGCCTTAGCTCAGGATAGGGTTTTCTTGTACATATTTACATATATAGATTACGAGTTTAAAAATGTAGAGAAGTCGGATGACCCTCCGACTTCACAATACATTTTCCTTTTTATATGTACAAGAATTTATTTCGCGATGAGCGGATTTCAATATCAAAGTAATAAGCATGAATACTATTAATTATTATAACTACTTACTTTGATAACGAAATCGCTCTTGAAATTGAAACGTTTTTCCGATTTTACTCGTGAAATTGGCATCAGTTTAGTATATGGGCTGGCCCCCAGGGGGGTCAGTATTTGCTCTTCAAGCATTGTATAAAGTTCCCCTTTTGAACTTGAAATTCATTCTGTCACGTTCACGGTTCTCGATCCTAAACACTCATCATTCGCACTTCAGCCTCACATAATCATTTATCCACCCGCATACTCTTGTGTAGGGAAATATTACCCCGTTAGGATTTTCAAGTTTAAGTAGTGTTGCGAAAAATTTTCAACGCGAGGGTAAATATTACCCCGTTACGATTTTCAAGTTTAAATAGTGTTGCGAAAAATTTTCAACGCGAGAGTAAATATTACCCTGTTAGAATTTTCAAGTTTAAGTAGTGTTGCGAAAAATTTCCGGCGCGAGAGTAAATATGACTATACACTGACTAGTATTCGGTGGGAATCCTTTTGGTTTTTATTTGAAAAAATTAGTTACAAGGATTCCGCGGCATAAGACCGTGAACACCACCTCATGGGAGATAAAACCATGCATTACTAGGCCTTTGCAGGCACAGCCATAGAGTACGGAACATTTAAGTATGTTGCAACCCATACGCTAAGCTGTCTTAAAGTCCTTTTGCCTATACTATGGGCGTCCACCACTCGAACTCGTTGGATGCAACGTGTTCGATGGGTGGGTAGCGCTCTTAGCGAAGGGGTGCACCCTGCCTGGGCCTAGAGCCTTAAACAGGCGGGGTGGGTGGTATGTAGCGTCGGGCGTAAGTCCAGGGGGCCTAAGAACCTCCGTTGCCAACTGATATTAGCAGTGGACGAATGTTTGAGTCATATTTTCTTAATTTTGCTTTTCAGTATTTGCTCTTCAAGCATAATTTAAAGCTCCCCTTTAGTCATGTTGCTAGATCAGGATTTTCTATTTTAATTAGTGTTGCGAAAAATTTCCAGCGCGAGAGTAACTATGACGATGCACTTACTAGTATTCAGTGGGAATCCTTTTGGTTTTTAAACTCAATGTTTTATTTAATTAATCAAATTAGTTACAAGGATTCCGCGGCATAAGACCGTGAACACCATCTCTGGGAGATATACCCATGCATTACTAGGCCTTTCAAGGCGCAGTTTAGAATGTGGCGCACATCCATATGTTCCATTTAATAAACTGCAGTCCTTTTGTCTATACTATGGGCGTCCGTCAATCTGACACGTTGGATGCAACGTGTTGGACGGGCGGGTAGCGCTCTTAGCGAAGGGGTGCACCCTGTTCTAGGCGGGGTGGGTGGTATGTAGCGTCGGACGTAAGTCCAGGGGGCCCGAAAACCTCCGTTGCCAGCTGATATTAGAAGTGCACCATTTTTGCGTCATAGTTGCTCCATTTTGCTTTTCAGTATTTGCTTTTCAAGCATTATAGAAAGCTCTTCGATCATACTTCAAATTCATTCTGTCACGTTCACGGTTCTTGACCATAAACACTCATCATTCGCACTTCAGCCTCACGAACTCTATCACATAATCAATTATCCACCCGCATACCCTTGTGTAGTAAAATATTACCCCGTTAGGATTTTCAAGTTAAAGTAGTGTTGCGAAAAATTTTCAACGCGAGAGTAAATATTACCCCGTAAGGATTTTCAAGTTTAAGTAGTGTTGCGGAAAATTTTCAATGCGAGAGTAAATATTACCCCATAAGGATTTTCAAGTTTAAGTAGTGTTGCGAAAAATTTTCAACGCGAGAGTAAATATTACCCCGTTAGAATTTTCAAGTTTAAGTAGTGTTGCGAAAAATTTCCGGCGCGAAAGTAAATATGACTATACACTGACTAGTATTCGGTGGGAATCCTTTTGGTTTTTATATGAAAAAATTAGTTACAAGGATTCCGCGGCATAAGACCGTGAACACCACCTCATGGGAGATAAAACCATGCATTACTAGGCCTTTTCAGGCACAGCCATAGAGTACGGAACATTTAAGTATGTTGCATCCCATACGCTAAGCTGTCTTAAAGTCCTTTTGCCTATACTATGGGCGTCCACCACTCGGACACGTTGGATGCAACGTGTTCGATGGGTGGGTAGCGCTCTTAGCGAAGGGGTGCACCCTGCCTGGGCCTAGAGCCTTAAACAGGCGGGGTGGGTGGTATGTAGCGTCGGGCGTAAGTCCAGGGGGCCTAAGAACCTCCGTTGCCAGCTGATATTAGCAGTGGACGAATGTTTGAGTCATATTTTCTCAATTTTGCTTTTCAGTATTTGCTCTTCAAGCATAATTTAAAGCTCCCCTTTAGTCATGTTGCTAGATCAGGATTTTCTATTTTAATTAGTGTTGCGATAAATAACGCGAGAGTAAATATGACGATGCACTTACTAGTATTCGGTGGGAATCCTTTTGGTTTTTAAACTCAATGTTTTATTTAATTAATCAAATTAGTTACAAGGATTCCGCGGCATAAGGCCGTGAACACCATCTCATGGGAGATAAAACCATGCATTACTAGGCCTTTCAAGGCGCAGTTTAGAATGTGGCGCACATCCATATGTTCCATTTAATAAACTGCAGTCCTTTTGCCTATACTAGGGGCGTCCGTCAATCTGACACGTTGGATGCAACGTGTTGGACGGGCGGGTAGCGCTCTTAGCGAAGGGGTGCATCCTTTCCTAGGCGGGGTGGGTGGTGTGTAGCGTCGGGCGTAAGTCCAGGGGGCCTAAGAACCTCCGTTGCCAGCTGATATTAGAAGTGCACCGTTTTTGCGTCATAGTTGCTCTGTTTTGCTTTTCAGTATTTGCTCTTCAAGCATTGTAGAAAGCTTCTCGTACTTCAAATTCATTCTGTCACGTTCACGGTTCTCGACCCTAAACACTCATCATTCACACTTCAGCATCACGAACTCTATCACATAATCATTTATCCACCCGCATACCCCAGTATAGTGAAATATTACCCCGTTAGATGTTTATGTACTAGTCATGTTTTTAGATC